CCATTGCACTCCAGCCTGGGTAACAAAAAAAAAAAAAAAAAAAAAAAAAAAAAAAGAAAAAAGAAAAACAGATTAACAACTGAAACAATGAACCCAATTTTGGAGGAAAACACTTCTACTATTTAACTTTTTATTAAGTATATTTTGGAAATATCCCATACAAAATAAAATGTTCAAGTCAGAAATTCCCTAGAGGTATACAATTAACATATTAATTTTTTTCATGAGGTTATTTTTTATGGATGCATAATAGATATACATAGTTTTAGGGTATGTGTGTGATAATGTAATACATTCATACAATCTGTAATGATCAAATCAGTGTACTTGGGAAATCCATATCTTAAATATTGTCTTTTCTTCATGTTAGAACCATTCCAATTCTTCTCTTCTACCTATTTTGAAATATAGTACAAGCTATAGTTATCCTATTGAAGATCTTAAATCCTTTGAGAGAATAATCACCCTTCTGAACACAGAACCAATTTCAAAATAGTGTGCATACACTTCAATTTTAGTGGCAAGTATCAGTATTACTAGGATTTATTATCAGAATTAGGGTGGGGTTCTTTTTAAATGTAAACCAAACTTGGGAATTATACAATTAATGAAGAGACTACACATTTATTTTGTTATTAATACTATTTATCAGCCAGGTGTGGTGGCTCACACCTGTAATCCCCTGAGGCGGGTAGATCATCTGAGGTCAGGAGTTCGAGACCAGCCTGGCCAACATGGTGAAACCCCGTTTCTACTAAAAATATAAAAATTAGCCAGGCATGGTGGCAAGGTGCCTGTAATCCCAGCTACTCAGGAGGCTGAGGCAGGAGAATCTCTTGAACCCGAATGGCGGAGGTTGCAGTGAGCCGAGATTGCACCACTGCACTCCAGCCTGGGCGACAGAGTGAGACTGTATTAAAAAAAACACAAAACTATGACTATTGCAAATACTAATTCAGAAAAGACAAGTACTTTCTGACCATGTTAACAGTATGGGGAATTTATATTATAGCTGTCCCATTAGAAACCTAAAATAAATAGGATGTGATTCAAACAAATGAAAACATTTTAAAACAACACAAAGTAAATCTAAGTATTTCAATAATGATAAAACACATATTGTTTTTGATATTTTAAGGACTAGTATTACATAACATCCTGATCATTTCCTTGGAGGGATTCTCCTAAATATATTCTTACCACTAGGAGATTACTACTTTAATATCAGATTATACTGTACAATTAAGTGTTATGAATATGTAATTTTCACAAAGCAAAATCTAGTAACTAAGTACAAGGTGTCTCCAGATACTGTCTATTTGTATTATGCTTCTACATTACAATATCTACGTTTCTTCTATAGCAATACATACTAAAATATCTAGAATTATCCTTGGTAAGCTATTCAAGGGTTTTTGGGTTTTGTTCCAATAGTTATTTATCTGTCCTTTAGGAAATTCAATAGCACAGAAATACCTTTTGGCACATGACATCGTGCAGAATCGTTTTGACCGCAAAAATTCATTAGCATATCCCATTTTCCCACAGAATTCACACTTGAGCAACTCACTGTCCATTTCTTCTAATGTCTCTAAAAAAGAAGGAAACAAAGGAAAAAAAGGTTCCAAAAATTTAATTATGCAAATTTTCTTTTAGTCTATACTTTGGTTGGATATTGCTAGCAAACCAATGGTTCTTTAACTTTTCAATCCACAGTCACTTTGACAAGACAAAAGCCTTCAAAAAACAACCACCGCTACTAATTCCCTCTTGCTTCTGCATAAAAATTATAAGGAATTTCTTTCTACATAAATAAACGTAACATTTTAAAAGGTTTCTCTTGCTTCCAATCCATCTAAAACGTACAAAAAAACTTTATAAACACTGGGAGAGAAATGAAGATCAATAACATAGGCACTACCTTCCAGGAGGAACACTTTCAAAAAGCTGACTGTGCGATATAAATTTTGATAAACTGCACTGTGGAGACACATAGCAGAGAACCCTTAATTCTAATTGGAGCGATGGCTTCAAAAAGGTGAAATTTTGATATGTCTGATTTAAAGAAGCATGTAAGATAATTAGCTCTCTCAAAGACCTGCAGTATATAAAATATATAAAGATGTATATATCAGGAGGCTGAGGCAGAAGAACTGTTTGAGCCAAAGTATTTGAGACCGCTGTGGGCAGCATAGCAAGATCCCATCTCATTCATCATACATAGATACATACATAAAATTATTTTAAAAGATGCATATATCTAATTATAAAACAGGATGGTATTAATAGGATGCTCCTTATTAAGTTAGAATATCCTTCTTCTACCCTACATATATAACTACTCTCAGGACTGCTTTCATAAGCAAAAGTCATCAAATTAGTAGCAATGAGGAAGAAACAATCTCAAAACAAGTAAGTTAAAAATTGCCCCTTCCAACCGCCCAGTCAGAAGATCCACCAACGCATTCCTGAGACCTGACAACATAATTCCCAGAAGTACTGTTTTTATTTTGTCATGCTTATAATCTGATCTGACCTTGAAAAGCCTGTACTTCTCACTCAACCACCAGTGACAGCCATTAGTTCCAGCCCTAACAGACTCCATTTCTCAGGTTTATTCCAGGAACAGGATATGCGAAAAGCTTTGTTTCAAAGATGTTTTGTTAATTAACAAAGCAATGTGTAACATCTGATAATAGGTTAGAATACATTATGAAGGAGAAGGAAATGTTTCTGCTGGTGAGAGAGCGGAAATATCAAACAGAAATGGTTTACAGTTAACCCAACAAAAATAGAGTATCAGTTTTATTTCTCAAAAAGAAGTGAGGAATATTAACAGATTCAAAAATTCTTGTTCTAATGTTCAGATTTTTAATAAATTTGGTAATATTGCCAAGGTCATTATTTTACATTTATGAATTTTAAAACTGTCAAAACAATTTTTTAAACTGCTGATTTAGTAATAAAAATGGATTCTATGGCAGAAACAGCTGGTAATTCTCCAGCATCCACTCTGCTTTTCTCCAATAGTAACAAAACCTTACGAACATGGCCACCCAGATTAAAAACAAGTTTCTGTCCTAGCTGTGACTAATTTGTAACCAATGGCATATGAATGTAAATGTTCACAAATTCCAGATGGTGCTCTTTCCCCCATCTCATTGGTTAGAATGTGATCATGAATATTAGCCATCTTGGAAATAAAAGCAACATTCTACGGAGGCAGAGACGTAAGACCCTGGAGCTTGAGTGCCCAGTACTAAGGAATTACCACATGAAGCCCTCAACTGCTGACCTTTGGGTTACGTCAAAGAAAATTAAACTCCTATCTTCTTTAATCAAATATTATTCTGGATCTCTACTGGAGTGGCCAAACCTACTTCCTAATATAGAGCCCCCATTTTCTGGCATGAGGAGAAGTTACTTTTTACTTCCCCCAAAGACCTGAAATCACATGGGGACAGCAGCAAAAAGAGGCAATGAGATGGATGAATCACAATCTACTGGCTGGAAACTCTCATTATAGAACCAGTCTAAACAGACCCACAATTTATCCTTTATATGATTACCATGAGGTTTGAAGGTTGAAACTATACATACTACTAAAACCAAAGCCACTAAGTAAGTGACCTCACCATTTCACACTGTAGTACTTCCTACAAACACTGACGTACATAGTAATATGAACATGAAGATTATAAAATTACCTTGAGAAATTAAATTAGAAGTATTTAAAATTTTAGCACGTTTTATATAAATATTTCTTGCCTATGAAATATGTTATCTCTGCATCTTCCTTTTCTTACACTGATATCATATCCTGCTGAACTACCCCTTTACCTTGAGAACATCAGTCCTTTCCTTCCTCTTGCCACCATGACTACAGGTGTCAATTACATGCAAAGCTTATCCATACATCCTATAAATGGCTATCAAAGTTTCCAAAAACACTTTTATTCATATCACCTGCCTAAAAATCTTCAGTAACTATCCACCAAACTTCAAACCATCCACCCAACAAGGTAACTTCTAACTGGCTTGTCTAATATCCAAGGTTCTCCATAAACTGACTCTGCCATTCAGACTTCCCACTCCTCCTCTAATGCAACCCTCTACTCTTCACTGCCCTCTCTCAAAATTACCGAGCGCTGCATTTACTCTTAGTGTTCTAATCTGAAATGTTCTTGCTGTTTATCTTAAATCTATGCATTAAATCCATGGCCCAGCTCAAATCTCATTTTTATAGGAAACCCACCAAAGTGGGAATAATCTTAGCCAGTTTTAAAGTTCTAAATTCTTGCTGTTTATATAATTCAGTGAAAAGATACCATTGGTAGCGCCTTCATTACCTTTTGGTGTGGAGATTCCCTAGATCCCTAGTTCCAGACTACATTAAAAGCTCCTGGAGGGAAAGGGGATTCTATTTTACCTCTTTATGTATGTAAAGAATATATACGTATATACATATATCTCTCATGTTCTAGAATAGTCTAATATATACTACATGTCCATTAAATTATAAGCTGAGGATCATACTACATGTTGTAAAGTTTCCTAAGCAAATTTCCATGCTCTTCCTATTGTGTACACAGGGGGACACACAAATAATTTTTAGCCTAGAATTTTCATTTATACACATATTGTAGATACAGGACAATTCTTTATTACTTTTCATATCAAGTGAGAAAGAAATGTTCTCAGATAAAATAGTATGTGTAATTAAAAGACAGTATTTGGCCAGGCATGGTG